AACTCCATCTCTAATGGCTCAGCCAGGCACAGACCCTCTTATCCCAAGCCAAAACTGATGGATGGATGGATGGATGGATGGATGGATGGATGGATGGATGGATGGATGGATGGATGGATGGATGGATGGATGGATGGATGGACGGACGGACGGACGGACGGATGGATGGACGGATGGATGGATGGATGGATCAATGAATAGATGATAGATGGATAGATGGATGGATCTATCCGCTTCGAACCATAAAATGAAGAACCAAAGATACACAAGCCTAGAACTTGCATCCCAACAAATCCACATTTATCTAGAAAAGATGGCTGTACACACCAGCTGTACGATCATTTGAACAGCCAGGGGCCAGTAGCTCACACTTGCAATTCTGGGTAGTTCATTTAAATAGAATCCTACAATATCTGATCTTTGTATGTGGTTTCTATTAATTTCTTTTCTTTCTTGATGTTGGTTCTGGAGCTTGAACTCAAGCCCTCATGTTCTCACTTGCCTTTTCCACTCTTGGCTGGTGCTCTACCGCTTGAGACACACCTCCAGTTCTTTCTATTTAACTGTTCTTTTTTGTATTTGTATTTAACATGTATAACATGCATGCGCAAGGCTCTGGGTTAAACAACAAACTCATATTTTTACAAGAGATGACAAGAATCTAACATTCTCACTATTCCACCTCAAAAGTAAAAATGTACATTCCTAGAAAGCAGATCCCGCGTGTTAATAACCAAACAGTACAGTTCTATCTTATAGACTGATTTTTGTGTCATAAGCAATCCTTATCCATGACTTTGCTGTAAGGATGAGATGGAGCTGTTTTAGGACTCATGTCTGTTCCAAAGCTTAAGAAATAAATTCACAGAAAAATTCTGTTGCCTCATGTTGAAAGACATTTAAGTTTGAAACCACTGTTGTCCTAAAATCACCTTCAAAACCACCTTCCGAGGCGGGCGCTGGTGGCTCACGCCTGTAATCCTAGCTACTCAGGAGGCTGAGATCTGAGGATCGCGGTTCAAAGCCAGCCCAGGCAGGAGAGACCGTGAGACTCCTATCTCCAAGAAACCACCAGAAAACCGGAAGTGGCGCTGTAGCTCAAGTGGTAGAGCGCTCGCCTTGAGCTGAAGAGCTGAGGGACAGCACCCAGGCCCAGAGTTCAAGCCCCACAACCGACAAAACAAACAAACAAAAAAACCACCTTCCATCTTGGTTGCTCACTTTCCCATTCTCTTATGCAAACAAACCCAACCGTTTTTCTTCTCTCTGAATACTTAGCTTTAAGATTACTCCTATGGAAAAAAATACCTTAAAAACAATAGTAGAAAAGTTAAACATTGGCAGAACACATCAGTGCTCTTGAATTCACAGCCATCTTTCTGATAGCAGTAAATCTTTCCAAGGAAAGGACATTTTGATCTTCTTGGGTCAAACCGCCTTTGTCTCTGCCTAGCTCTCAGTCTAGGGAATTTCTTACTGAGGGCCATCTTGGTTTGATTTTCCACTGGTTCACAGTTGAGTTTCAGGGATGTTCCTGTAGGCTGGCTCCAAGGATTGAGTGATGTAGAAGTCTACATCACATCCTGTTTCCACACCTCGCAGGTATCAGATCAACTTGAGTGGAATGTTGAAGAGGGATACCACGGTGACCTAATGAGTCAGGAGACACGAGGCGTCCTTCCTATTTAACTTTCAAAGCAATTTTTGTGGTAGTCCTTCCTGCTCGCTAGACAGATAGCAGAATGGACTATGATCCTCCTACCTCTGCCCTCTGCATAGCTGGGATTATAGGTACATACCACCATGCCCAGCTTATTGATTTGAGATGAGGTCTTGCTAACTTTTTCCTGACCTGCTGATCTCAAGCAGGAATCCTTTCCATCTCCACCTCACAAGTGGCTGGGATTACAGGCTTGAGCCACTGTGCACAGCCAGGAACTACACTTTATACAAGCATGGGTCGGGGGACAGCAGGGCAAAAGTGGGTAGAGCCATCACCACCTGACCCATTGAGGAAGAAAGGAGGCTGGGGGTGCCTGGCCAGTGCCAGCCACGGTCTGATGGTAAACTGGGACTGCCGTTGATAGAGTGCAGGACCGGCTTGGCGAGCAAAGATGGGCTCAGTGGGGACGGTTGCTCCTCCTGTCCCTCCTCACCCAGAACCAGTGGTGGAGGGAGACTGTGGGAAAGGTCACCCAGGTTACCCACCCTGACCAGGCGTGACTCCTATAGCAGGTGAGCCATGGGCCCTGTGGGGGCTCAGCTGTGGCTCCCCAGCTCTCCCTGCCCAGCTTCCTGGGAGCTACAGATAAGGTCATCCCAGTAACCCTCCTCCTAGATCACACCCCTGGGCCAGTAGCGGGTTCTCACTGTGCACCCGGAAGCTCATGCCTGTAATACTAGCAGCAGATGACGCTGAGATCTGAGAATCATACATTCGAATCCAGCCCATGCAGAAAAGTCTTGAGACTCCTATTTCCGAATAACCAGCTAATGCTGGAAGTGTAGCTGTGGTTCAAGTGGTAGAGCACCAGCCTTGGGCAAAAAGAAAAAAAAAAAAAACAGAAACAAAAACAACTAAGGGGCAGTGTCTAGGCCCTGAGTTGAAGCCCCAATATCAGCACCAAACCACCCACCCCCCAAAAAAACCCAACCCCCCCAAAACCAAAATCGGCCTGCTTGCACAATCAGATCACCAGCTGGGTTTGAGACTTCTACTATATGAAACAGATGGTTGGTGCTATGGTTTCAAACTCTTTTTTTTGGGGGGGGGGGGTGGTCCGGTCGTGGGGCCTGAACTCTGGGCCTGGGCGCTGTCCCTCAGCTCTTCAGCTCAAGGCTAGCGCTCTACCACTTGAGCCACAGCGCCACTTCCAGCTTTTTTTCTTTTTGTTTATGTGGTGCTGAGGAATCGAACCCAGGGCCTCAGGCATGCAAGGCAAGCGCTCTACCACTGAGCCACCTTCCCAGCCCTGTTTCAAACTCTTGTTCTGCCACCTGCTAGCTAACCTTTGGGGTTCACTGCTTACCCCCAACCCAAGTCTGGTGTGCGTCTACTTAATCTCTAAGCTAGGAATAAGGAGCTGGGGGGGTCCAGTGGCTCACAACTGTAATCCCTGTACTTAGGGAGGCTGAGAATGAGAGGATCTTGGCTCAAGGCCCACAGGTAATTCACACGATCCTTGCCAACCTCTGATGGAGCACTGCTCTGTGAGAGCAGACTCCGCGGGAGGCTGAGGTGAGGACGGAGACCGTGCATGTCTGTGACCCCAGCACCGGGGGGCTGTGTTCTGCTAGACACTCTGCTGACTGGGAGTCGCAGGCTTGCAATTCCTGCCCGTCATCTGCATCCCAGACTCTGTATCACATGCACACTGGAGGTTTTTTCCCCTTTAGACAGACTTCACATACTCCATCTTCAAAAAGAAAAGAAAAGGTTCCCTGTCTAGACCATTCCTCTGTGCAGCCCGGCTTGCTCTTAAGCCTGTGGTCTTGGGCATTGTCGCCCGTGGCAAACATCTGTTTCTTTTCAAATCTGTTGCCTTGATCTTCCGAGTTGTGGCTGCGGCCTGCTTGGTGGGACCAGCTCCTGTGGCTAGAGCTTGAGTCGGAGGGTTTCCTGAGATTTTCACTCCAGAGGATCAAAGCCGTGCTCACTCCTGCCTGGGCAAGCAAAGGCAGCCTTGAGGGGAGGCCCTGGCAATTCAGCTTCCAGGAGAAGGGAAGAGGGGAGGGGAAGAGAGCAAGGGAGGTGGGCAAGGGAGGGGCAATTTTAGTGTCAGCCTGCAGAGAGGAACCTCTAGGAAGTGAGGGCTGGGGGGAGGAAGTTAGGTCATGGTGGGGGAGGCATGTCTTTGAATAGTGGTTCTCTCCCCCCCCCCCCATTCCCGACCACCATGAAGTGAGTAGATTTCTTCCCACACATGCATGCACACACACTCACACACAACTATGATGTGCCACCAAAGGCTCAAAGCCGCAGGACCAAGTGGCCACCAACTTGGGCCTCTGAAAGCCAGTGAGCCACCTGAGGCATTTTGTTAGGGTAATGGAACGCAGACCCCGCCCTCCACCCTGGAGACCCCCATACTTTACACCCGTGTCACATAAAACAGTTGCTTTCAGTTTACTGAGCTTGCCCTGTCTCGGGGCTGGGCGGCGGCCAGCTCAGGCCCGCAGTGAATCTCGTAGACCAGGCTGCGTGGCTGCAGCACAGAAATACTCCACAGGTCTGAGGCGGGGCGAGTACGTGTTCTCACTCTGGCTCCTGAGCTGTTCCTGTCCTCACCAGGAGAGACCGAGATGGGGGTGGGGGGAAGCTCTGGCAGCTGCTCTTCTAAGCCACTCACCCCACTGACAGGCACCCCCCCCCCCACCTCATCTACCCTAACTAGCCCCCAAGTCTTCTCTGAATATTCTATCAATGGCGGGTAGAGCTTCACCATAGGAATTTGGGGTGCACATAAATATTGGGTTCACGGCCTCCTCTGAGACCCCCTCCCCCCCACTCGCACCCCACAACCAAGCTCATCCCCCTTCATCTTCTCTCCTGCCACCTTGGCTGCCCTCCTGCCCTGCCTATCCTCCAAGGTTAGTCCTACCTCAGGGCCTTGGGCCTTGGCACTTAGCGGCCACTGCTGCTGAGACTCTTCTCCTACCCTTCCGGTGTTCACTAAAAGACAGAAAGGCCTATCTGGACCCTCTGTCTGGCCCACCCTCTGCCAAGGTACCCATAGTATGTAGTTTGCTTTCTCTGGGCATCTCTTGTAGTCTATCTCTTGGTCCTCCCAATCTCTGCCTCTTGAGTAGCTGGGATTATAGACATCAGCTACCATGCCTGACCGAGTCCTCCAGAGAGAAGAGGGTAAGGTGGAAGTGGAAGACGGTGGGGGAGGAGAGAGCCGTGGGAAGATGGTCTCCACCCCACCCCACCCCCCTGCCCTGGGATGTGCTCCGACTGTGTATTGATCTTCCTGGGAGGGGGCCCAGGCTTCACCTACCTGGGGCTCTTGAGGCCTGATGCAGCGTGGGCATGGCAGACAGTGCTGTGGAGAAGCAGGTTGTTCCCTGAGGCTGGGGGTGGGGCGGGGGAGGGGGCACGGCAGGGAGGACCACGCAAAGGCTCTGGGAAGGGGCAGCAGCAAGCTGGGAGCCCACTGAGTGCAGAAGGGGCTGGGAAGCGACGCCTGAGCCCCACAGGGCCCTGAAGGGGTGTGAGTGGGAGCGTCTGGGCGGACAGGAGACGGCAGGGCACAGTGGGGACTGCAGCAAAGCGGGTGCCAGGCCCCTTCCTCCGGGCAGAGCCTTGGCGCAGCTCAGGCGCTGGCTGCAGGTGAGAACCCGTGTCAGTTACAAGAGAAGTCATATTTGACTTACGAGATAACTGAGTCAATAGTGAATGCCCCAGACGTGGTCCTGGGCTGCCGAGGCTGCCGGCGTGAGGTGAGGGGGAGCCTGTGTGCACAGGGTAGGGTGGCGGGTAGCCCACTGCCATCCAGAATTACATCCAGGCCACCAGGCCAGGGTGTGCTCCCGCACTGGCCATGGGAGGCTAGAGGGGAAAGCAGAGGCTGCGGGGTGAGGACTGGGTGCCAGAGGCCAGTGCCGGGTGTGATGGGGGATCAGGGACTCAGGGAAGCAGCAGTGTCGGAGGCATGGCTGCTTCATGCTCCAGGAAGGCTGCTGCCCGGCTGGTGATGGTGGTGAGGGGGCCTCCCAGGCCCTCTCTGTGCTCTGTCAAGCGTCTCTTTCCATTTTGGATTGGAAGAGATTATTTCTATTTTCCTCTCCTGCTTGGCACCATGAGAACACTGATTCTGCGACCTCGAGATCCAGGTTCAAATCCTGGCTTAGCCTCTTACTCCCGTGGCCTTGGGCAGAGTCCCTTTGGGCCCCACCCCCTGGGTGTCTCTAGCACGTGACTGAGAACACTGCCTTGAGCGTGGAAATTAGGTGTCCACAGCCCCTCTGCTGTCCAAATCCTGGCCTCCAGGCGACTCTCACCCCCAAGTGCAAGCGACTCCATCAGAAAGCAAGAGACTCAGAGCAGGGGACCCGGCTGGTCACATCCCCAGCCAGGCCGTGTGAGCCCCTGGACAGAGAGATGTGGGTACAAGTTACACATTTAGCCAGCCCCGAGGACCCCGAGGACCCTGAGGACCGCAGCATCCCCACCACCTTAGATACCTAGAGGCAATCGTTTCTTCACACTCCATCCTTTGGGGGACATTTTGGGGTACCAGGTATGATGTGGGGGTTCAGTGTTTGCTACATGAGCTACCCATGGAGGCCTATTGAAAACACCAGGGTCAGTGTTATCTGATGTTCCTGCTGGCAGTTTCTAGTTTATTATTATTATTATTATTATTACTGCTAGGGCTTGAACTTAGGACCTGGACATTGATCCTTAGCTTTTTCATTCAAGGCTTGTGGTCTATCACTTGAGCCATAGTTCCAATTCTGGCTTTTTTATATGTGTTGTGGTCAACTGGAGGTAAGAATCTCACAGACTTTTCCTGTCTCGGCTGGCTTCGAACCATGATCCTCTGATCTCAGCCTCCTGAGGAGGGAGGATTGCAGGCGTGAGCCACCAGCTTCCAGCTAGTTTCCAGTTCTAAACAACACATAAAACTGCCAGCAAGCCCTGCAGAATGATGCGTTCCAGGTTGTGTCTTCTGAACATTATTATGTTGGATTGTTTTGATGTTATCCCGGGGATAGGGAGGCTGGTGGGGCCTGGGAAATGCTATCCTGATTCCAGGCCATGGTGCTAACTCTTTCTAAGCAGCTGCGTGTACAAGGGATGCCTTCAATCCAGGCCAGTGTGGAATGTGGGGGCTATTAAAGGAAGCTTCTGTGCCGATGGTTAAGATGTAGTAAGCACGGAACTATTTACGACTCGGCAGAAGCAGTTGACTGAAACTTGGGTCTGGGAGAAGATTTTCTTGGGCAACTATGAGCTCTGGTCTGACTCAGACTTGCCAGTGTGTGGCTGGGCTGAAAAGAGACAGGTGAGTTTGTGGTTGGGTTTTAGTATTTGCAAACTCTGTATAGAAGATTCCAGCGCTGCATGTCCTGTTCCTCCATGCCAACTGTGTCTCTGCTCAGAGGAATCCCAATAGAACCCCAGAGGAACCTCCATAGCCAAAGACCCTGGGCACCTGCAAGGGTGTGACACAGGACGCTCAGGGGACAACACAGGCCCATTGTGTCCATCTGTGAGTTAAGACAAGTCCTATTTCAATTCTCATTTTACAGATGGGGAACTGAGGCTGGGAGCCTGGCTGTCCCTTGTTGTCCCTGCCGACCCCCCCCCCCCCCACCCCACATCAATCCTGTGCCTGCTTCTTAGAGCCGATATGGGTGATGGAGGATATGGGGAGAGAGGCAGCAAATACGATAAACATGAGATGATTGATCATTACAACTCCACACCCAGGAGGGTTCTAAGAATAGATCTACATAGGTTGACAAGCAGCTTCTTACAAAGGGTTGAGGGCCTCCATGTGGAGGTGACCTTTAAGCCATGGATAAGCATATGCCCCCAAGTGGGCCACAGGGTTGACTTGAAGGTCACACAAGCTTCCATTTGGCAGGCCCAGGAAGCCTTCTGCTTCCCAGGGCTCCTGGGTCCCAGGCTAACACTTGAACATGGCCTTCCAATCCTTCTCCAGCTTTCTCCTCCTCTGTGTGGCTATGCTGCTGGTCCCTTGCAGCTCCTTTTCCCACTCCATCCTTCTAAAGACCCTGTGGTCTTTAGAAGGTGGGAGAGTGGTTACAGGTGGGAGAGTTGTGATTTCTCCATAGCAAAGAATTGCGTCTCCCATGTTCTGACCTAATCTGGCCACACCTTCTAGGAAGCCGGAAAAATGAATTGACTGGCTGTGCCACACCCCCAAGGAACTGGAGGAACTGATCGGCTGGCCCATGGCCCCACCCTCTCAGAAACGGGAAGTTATGATTGGCTGACCAGGGCCTCCAAAGACCTAGGTATTACTTGTGCAAGCAGCAGTGTGCATAGTTCCACACCCTTGAGAGACACCAGCGGCCTGTTTAACAAAAGACAGCTTTGTTTACCTGTAAGGGATTTTCTTGTTGGTTCTGAAGTTTTTTTTGAAGAAAAGTCATACCTGTAGCATGCCTGGTTCTCTATTGTTTTCTCTGAGATGTCCACACTGCATGGCTCATTATTGCACTGGGTACTCTGCTGAGGTTTGTTAAATACATGACTGGATTGCCGGGTGCCGGTGGCTCACATCTGTAATCCTAGCTACTGCAGAGGCTGAGATCTGAGGATCGCAGTTCAAATCAGCCTGGGCAGGAAAGTCCGTGAGACTTATCTCCAATTAACCACCATAAAACTGCAAGTGGTGCTGTGGCTCAAGTGGTAGAACACTTGCCTTGAGCTGAAGAGCTCAGGTACAGCATCCAGGCCCAGACCCTACAACCAATCAAAAAAGAAAAAAAAATTACCTGACTGGAGAAAAAAGAGGCAGCCTACTAACCACAGTGCCTTGGCTCCTGCCCACCAGAGCCCACATTTACCAGGCAACATCAGCTTGGAGGAGCAGTTAGGGTTTTAACATTTGCATGGTAGTTGGTTGGCCTGGAAATTTCTTTCAGCTCTAGGAGGGGTCTTGTCCCTTCCTGGTCCTCAGCTCCAGTGTTCCAGAATGTTTGGAGATCTATTTGCTCAGGTCATCTTTTGGATTTAAACACCCTGAAGGGCTGAATGGATGTCCAGTTCATGCCTGGCCCAAAGAGACAGAGTCATAAGACACAATATATAGCAGGCGGGACTCAACTTTGTGCAGTAATGCCAGCTCCTGTCACTGGCTGCCCAGCTCAGAGAGGGCAGAGTTCTTGACAGGAGACAGACTAGAGGCAGCCCCAAGCCACAGGAGCTGAGCCAGGGTGATCAAGAAGTTGGCATTGTGTTTGACCCTTCCTGTTCAAGGCAGGTGACTGGGGAGAATGATGTTTGTCTTTGTCAATGTGTGGTCTGGAAAAAGCTATTGTAAAGCCGGACTTGGGGCAGGTGAAGGGTGAGGGTAGACTCTGGACCTGGCTATCTGGTTCCCAGCATACTCTGCTACTTATTAACAAGGAACTTTGGGCAAATTAAGGAACCTTTCTGAACTTCCATGTCCACCTGAGTAGCATGATGGGGGAGGCGCACGCAGGGTCATATCTTCATCCGACTGTGAGGATAAAATGCAAAGAGGAAGCATTTGGTGTGTGTTAGCTGTTCTTGTGATTTGAAAAGCCCAAGAGGTTTGCATTTCCCCCAGATTTGTAATCGGATTCGCTTTGTCTGAAGCCAAGAAGTCCCCCTCTCCACAAAGCCTGTGCAATCAGGAATCAGAGGAATAGTCAGGAATCAGGAATAGTCCAGGGTGCATCAGGACTGTGCCTGGGGCTGCACTGGCAGACTGAGTAATGCCGCCATTGTCCCACTGGCCTCCATCCTGTTCCTGGGACCTGCAGCTTGTTCCCTTATAGGGGGATCTTGAGATTGTCGCCGGGCCCAGGTAAGGGTCTGTAAGGTTTCCCTCTAGAAATAGGGACTCTCCACTTAGGGTCCCTGAGTTTGACTGCAGATAAGAATTTCTGGAGAAGTCATAATGGTAAGAAAACTTGGTGGAGCTTTATTGAGTAAAGAAGCAAGCAAGCAGACAAGTGGATAAGCGGAAAAGCAGAGGCACACTAAGAGTATGGGTGCTTTCAAAGGGAGAAGCACTGAGCTCATTGACATCAGGGGTATTTATATGATAAAGGCAGGGTCTGGCTTATAGTCAGATGCAAAGATAGGTGTTTGTCTTTTCACTTTTATTACTTTGGTTCAGGATCTCTAAGACTTACCTGTACTTTAAATATTTGACCATTATGTTTTGAGATCCCTTTTAGGAAAGAATGCATCCTGCCGTGTGTGTGTGTGTGTGTGTGTGTGTGTGTGTGTGTGTGTGTGTGTGTGTGTGTGTGTGTGTGTGTGTGTGTGTGTGTGTGTGTGTATCCTGCCGTGTGTGTGTGTGTGTGTGTCCGTCCTAGTTCTTAAACTAAGGGCCTGGGCACTGTCCCCTGTGTGTGTGTGTGTGTGTGTGTGTGTGTGTGTGTGTGTGTGTGTGTGTGTGTGTGTGTGTGTGTGTGTGTGTGCATCCTGCCGTGTGTGTGTGTGTGTCCGTCCTAGTTCTTAAACTAAGGGCCTGGGCACTGTCCCCAAGCTTGTTTTGCTCAAGACTAGCACTCTGCCACTTGAGCCACAGCTCCACTTCTGGCTTTTTGTTAATTTTATTGGAGATAAGAGTCCACCAGACTTTCCTGCCCAGGCTGGCTTCAATCATGATCCTTAGGTCTCAGCTTCGCAAGTAGCTGAATTACAGACATGAGCCACTGGTGCCCAGCCTGCCATATATTCTAAAACTGGGTGTTTATCCTTGAGATAAAGAATACATCCTGCCACAGATGCTTATCCGTTGAGATAAGCACTCTGTGCCA